CCACGCTTGTATTTGCATGACAAGAATTATCTGATACCTCTGGCGTGCAGCGATTTCTCTCAATTTAGGATCGTATATATGGACCCACGCTTGTATTTGCACTGACCGCGTTGTATAAAGAGACAAAGTCTCTTTGGCATCATGTAAAATCCAGATGAGCGGTGACATTAACAGCCTATGAATATACTATTTTATGTAAAGTTGGTAAGAAGGTAGGAAATGCAGATGCTTTCGGCCATTTGCTTTTACGGGAGACATAAAAAAACACAAAAGGGAAGAGACCGTGTTACTAATGGACTATCTTGATACCCCTTCAGTGATAACATTCCAGGGAAAATCATGGAACAGTAAATATCCAGTTCTCGCAGAAGTTAGACTTGGTGCTAAGGAGATGGCCTCAGACCAAAGCCATGTATTATGGAGAAGATGGGTCATCATTTCAAACCAAGGACAAAGACGTGATGTAACTATGGATGAAATGCACCAGAAACATCCTGCTATGACTCAAATGAAAGGGTTAGCCTGGACTTATCTGTGGTGGCCAAAAAATGGACACTGATATTGAGAGTAAGGTCAAGAGCATCATAAAGTTCCTACTGTGATTCCACCTCATCCTTGGAAGTAGCCATATATGTCTCAGAGAAGAGTGTATAGTGGTTATGCTGAATCATTCCTGAGGAACACGTTTGTAATTCTAGTGGATGCACTTTCCAAGGGGGTAGACATCTATCCCATGAATACATCCCCTAGCAAAGCCAGCAGAGAAAAATTAAGACCCAGTTTTAGTACCTATGGCTTACTGGTACCAAATAATGGAAGTTCTTTAGCTGAAGTTCTTTGAAATTCCAAAGATTTTTGAAGCAAAACAGCGTTCAACATGTTACAAGGAGACTTTACCATCTATGCTCAAAGGTATTAGCTGAACAACTGAGTGATTTAAAGAGGGCAATTAAGAGACTACCTCTAGGCACTATAGACATGAGTTTTATTACTTGTCTTGTGGAACAACCCCATATTGGCCAAGGGTGTGACTCTTGAAGAGATGTTAATAGGACAGAAACTCAGATTAAGGTTAGTTAGACCTCATGCACGAATACTGAATGGGAAAAATGCAGTAAAAAATAATAGATGTGATAGGAGCTACATGAGAAACGGTTGGAGAAGCTGTTTATACTAAACATTTTGGTCCTGGTCCCAACTGGAAGCTTCAGCGACCATTACAGCTATTACTGGTCCAGTCTCCTACCAAACAGTTCTGGGGGGTGTCCAGATTTGTAGATCAAAGGATTGTGATTCACTCTGGAGATGTTCACATAAGAACACTGGAATGGACACCTGAGAATGTCCAGTTAGGTTCAGATTTCCAGAAATTGGTGCTGGAGGGGAAGTCACCAAATACGATGTTGACAAACAGACAAACTTCAGGGACGGCCCGTTCAAGTTACCATATCAGAGAATGACAAGTTGCCTCCGGAAAGGCAACATTGATAGTGGAAGTATCTTTGTGGAGGTTGAAATGAGGCATTTCTGTCTGAGAGAAAGAGCCACCTTGCCATTTACAAAATAGGTGACCTGCATTAACAGAAGTGTTGGGAGCAAGACACGAGAAGTAATTTTTCCACTCTACTCTGCGCTGATTAGGCCTCACCTGGAATATTATGTCCAGTTCTAGGCACCACATTTCAGGAAAGATGTGGAGAAACTGAAGAAGGTCCACAGAAGAGCAACTATAATTATTAAAGGTCTGAAAAACGTGACCTATGAGGGAAGACTGAAAGAATTGAGTTTGTTCAGTTTGGAAAAGAGACGACTGAGAGGAGACATGATAGCTTTCAAATACCTAAACAGGTGTTACAAGAAAGAGTGAGAAAATTATTCTCCTTGATCTCTGATGATAGGACAAGAAGCAATGGGCTTACATTGCAGCAAGGGAGGTTTAGGTTGGACATTAGGAAAAAGTTCTGTCAGGGTGGTTAAACATGGGAATAAATTGCCTAGGGAGGTTCTGGAATCCCCTTCATTGAAGATATCTAAGAACAAGTTAGAGAAATACCTGTCAGGGGTGATCTAGCTGGAACTTGGGCTATGTCTATACTGCAGAGCTTTTCCGGGATACCTCCAGTATCCCAGAAAACTTCTGCCACATCCAAGGAATGCGCCTGCTTTTTTGGAAGAGTTTCCAAAAAAGCAGATGCGTTCTTTCGGCAGCCCTATATTCCTCATTGTATGAGAAAGAAGGGATGTTCCAAAAGAGGAGGTGTTTCTGAAGTTTGGCTTCGTGTAGACAGGCCAAATTTCAGAAAAGCTTCTTCAGAAAAAAAGCGGAAAAAGATACGCAAACTGCAGTTTGCAATTTGCGTATCTTTTTCCGACTTTTCTTTGCTGTCTAGACGTAGCCTTGGTCCTGCCATGAGGGCAGGGGACTGGACCAGATTGGTCCCTTCCAGTTCTAGTATTTTATGATACTATGACTGGTTTTATTTATTATGATTATTTGCAGTTTTAAATCTATTACTAATTATTCTTGTTGGTTATGTAACCTGTGGGGTAAATATTTAAATGGGGAAATATTGTAATGTGTGTAAGATACCAGCCACTCAGGGGAATAGGCAGGTAGTTAATCATCTACCCCACTAAGTCCTGATGCTGTAGCTACGTCAATTACTGAGTTAAATAGAGAGAACCTGAAGTTGTTGCAAATCTTCCAAAAGGGTGTCACAAGGAGGAGGGAGAAAACTTGTTCTTCCTGGCCTCTGAGGATAGAACAAGAAGCAATGGGCTTAAACTGCAGCAAGGGAGGTTTAGATTGGACATTAGGAAAAAGTTCCTATCAGGGATGGTCTAGACAGTGCTGAGTCCTGCCGTGAGGGCAGGGGACTGGACTCGATGACCTCTCGAGGTCCCTTCCAGTCCTAGTGTTCTATGATTCCAAGTTCTTGTGTCCCATCCCATGTCTGCTAATATTTTCTGTCTCCAGATCTGAGTCTTTGCCCCATGGCAGGCATGGGCCTGAACCAAAATTATAGACTCATAGAACACTAGAACTGAAAGGAACCTTGAGAGATCATCAAGTCCAGTCCTCTGCCCTCTTGGCAGGTCCAACTACAATCTACATCAGTGGTTCTTAACTTTACTGCAGCCTGCACCTCTTTGGTTCTCAAAATATGTAGGTCAGTTCTTTCAACCTAAGATAGATCATAAAAATCTGGCATGTCTCGCACCCCCAGAAAGGGCATCTCGCATCCCCACGGGGTGCGTGCTCTCCAGGATAAGAACCACTGATCCAGATCATCCCTGACAGCTGTCTGTCTAACCTGCTCTTCAATATCTCCAGCGATGGAGATTCCACAACCTCCCTAGGCAACTTATTCCAGTGCTTAACCACCCTGACAGGTAGGAAGTCTTTCCTAATGTCCAACCTAAACCTCCCTTCTTGCAGTTTAAGCCCATTGGGTTAAATACCTAACCCAATCACACTTGACTTCTGATCAGTATCCACACCAGTCTCCTTTGTCTCACGCTCTGCTCTTTTGGGGGCGACATCTGTCGTGAGGAATCCGTCACCCCCCAGAGTTTAAGATTGTCACCCTGCGGCTCAAAACCCCCAAGGAAATGTGTGGCTGTTCTAGGGTTGCGTTGTGCGTGATTGACAATTGTTGAGAAGGGCAGGTCTGCGGAGCTATTGCCAAGATAGGTGCATGATACCTTCCTAAAGAAAAGTTGGACTACCTTTGGTTTCCACTACAACTGTAGTGAAAATTGACTGGATTCATCCATATTTGGTGCTGGCTTCCTCAAGCATCATGGCTGGTCACCCAAGTCACATAGCATTATCTCGGTTCCTTAATCAGAGGGTCTGATCCTGGTGAGGTGCCGTCACTTGTGCAGGGAACAAATAGGTGCTTCTGCTGCCTTGACGGACACGATGGAGGAATTCAGATCCTGCAGTGATTGGGGCCATAAGCACATAGATCCTTATGGTGCCAAGGAGGAGGGGGGAGGGAGAAATAGTTGGCTCATTCGATAGCTTGATCAATAGATTGATCAATCATTCCATAGATCAATGAATCAATCGATTAGGACCTTTGTATCTGAGGAACACATGACATGCAAGGATCACTGTATGAAAGTTATTTCAGTCTCAGGCAGATCTCTCCCTGTGTATGGAAAATGGAAGTCCCCTTTCCATCTGGCAGGTAGTTTCTGATGCAACTCAGCTGCGTTCACGCTAATCAGTCAAACCAGGTTTTGACCACAGTAGCTATATTGAAGTTACAGTACTTCCAAATGGACTCAAATATCCTAGCGCATTCTCAGCCTCAATTTCCTCTCTGTTAAAAACAAACCAACTCTCCCCCTCCCCCAATTTTGCTGGATGCAATCATAGCTTGGGATCAATTTTTTAAACCCAATTAGTGGGAAAAGAGTCTGTCTGTGTTTTGGAGGAGGAGGAAGGGGATGGAAAACAATTAGATACCATCTGAGTTGCTATTGTGTGCCCTTCCGGTTCAAAAGTGGCTCATTTTTCTCTATGAAATTTCCATAATGTGGCCTGGGGCCCTGAGGCATTTTGGAACACAAAATAAAAACAGATTCAGGGCTGTTGGAGTCCCCGTTACAGAGAAGAGGAATTCCTGTGAGTCTCAGAAGTTCCACAAAAATATCCCGCATGACAGATTTCCATTTCCTCATATCTGTAATGCACAGACTCGGGCATTCTTGACCCTTTTCGTTTCATTTCTGGCACCTTTTTTTTTTTAAATAAAAAAAGAAGCGTTTTCATCAAAAATGGACATTTTCCCAGGAAACGGCCCACTTCGAAGCCAGTTTTCATCAAGCAAACTAAAAACACACAAAATCTTTTGTGTGGCAAGTGAACTATTTTTAGCTTGTAGGATTTCCACAAAAAAGCCTGAAGCCCATTCAGGAGCAAATGAAAACTTGCAACTCAGGGTTCCATGGCTGCCAACAAACTGATTGTGATGTCACAAATGCAGCGCTTCGACCTCAGTGTAGGAGCAAGCGGACGGGGACACAGCTCTGTCGGTTTGAAACAACACATCTCCCTTGGCCAATGGCAAAAACCACAAAGAGCATTTGAAGAAGCACATGAAAGGGAAAAGAGTGGCTGGTATTTTCCTTCTTTAATGCTACTTGAACATAGCTGAATGCATTGTCCATTTCTATGTATTCCCTCTGCTCCCGCATAAATCCACAGGACCATACCTCCTTCTTTGAAGTCACGTTGATTTTTCAGGGGCCACCCGCAGAAGTGAATTAAGTCGAGACAGGTGGGGCGGGAGGAGAAACACGACACCCTTTCTCCATCACAGCCCGGTGAATTAAAGCTTTTAGAGCGATTTAAAATTTTAATTAGGGGGGTTTACTGCTGTCAGTGGAGCGGAGCAGCTGATGGGCAGCAGGAGAGAGGCAGGGCAGCTTGACTGGGATACATTTCTCATCAGCTGCATTATGTCCCCATCAGCAAGGAGATTACACTACTGGGAGATGGGCCGCGGCCCGTTTCAGAAATCTCATGTGTTCATTTCCCAGGATAATTGCCTTCAAAAGACATCACATAGCCATGAAAAAAAAAAGTGAAGTATTTATTGATTCCCACTCATATAATAATACTCAGCTAGCACATTTCACCCGGTATTAGGGAGGTAGCTTACACACGTTAATTCTCAGCGACAGAAAGACTTTAAAGGAACCAACAGTTCTCAGGAGGCCAGGAAGATCCAGCGGTCAGATAACAATGCTGCCAACCCCAAAGCATGGATCAGCGCTCCTATTCTCACCTCCAAAGCTCACGAGATTCACTTAGAAACTAGATTAAAACATACACACACACACACATACACACTGGGTGGAGGGATGTGTCTCTCTCTGTTTGCCTTCTGTTTTCTGAGGTGTTAGGGTGCGCTCACATCACATCCTCCGCTCGGAGGGCTAGAAATTTCTTATTTGTTTAAGTGAAAGCTGAGATTCTCGCCTATGCCCCGGCCTCCAGCCGCTGGGGCGTTAAGGACAACCACCAAGTAGCACAAGAAGGTTGCGAGAGGCAGAAAGAGGGGGCGACCCCATCCGTTTTAAAAGTGAGCATGCTATGGCCTGCCACTGTTAATGGGCCATAAGGGTGAGTGACGGAGGGGGCAGATGGAGAAGAATAAGCGGGGGACAGGGTCTTGGGGAGAAGAGGTGGTGAGGGAGCAGGGCCTTAGGGAGAAAGGGCAGTGCGGGGGTGGGAGTTTGGGTGAAGGGGCAGGATGGGAGCGGGGCCATGATAGGGGCACCAGTGGTCTCCCACTTTTAGGGAGATCCGCTGCTCCTAGTTAGAAGCCCTGGCACAGCATAGCTACTCGCACCCAGGAGTTTTGTGGGGTCTACAAGCCCACCCACTTCAGGACATAAGCCCGTCTCTAGCCAGCGGGGACTAGTTTCTCTGGCGAAGGCTTGTCCCACCAGTTGAGAACCACTGTCTTAAGCCCATCAGCACATATGGGAGAAAGCAACCATGTCGTGACTCATCACAGGCTTCTGTTCCTGGCTCCGTTCTACTCCCTCATCAAGGAATATGAATGGCCTTCATCGAGAACCAGTAGTTAATCTCCCTAGACTTTCAAGCATAGGCCTCCACAGCCCTGCAGAATTAACTCACCAATTAGTTCTGTCCTGTGTGAGCTTCCTGCTTAAGTATGAACGATTGAATTTCACAGACTCGCATGTGCAGCACTGGGGAGAAGCCATCATGGCATCTCCTTCCTTGTCTTAGAGAGACTTGCTGTGGGGATATTACGGGTTTTTATTTCCAGGAGCTGTCAAAAGCCTCACCTTTCACGAGCACTAAAGTGGCCAGGGGAAAATATATATATATATGTGGAATAATGATTTTTAACTCATAAATTTGAGCTCGTAAATCAAGGTTTGAAGGAGCAGTCGTCATAATGTCTTGTGAATTAACATTCTACATTTTCTTTCACCTGAGGAAGGAGGGGGGGAAAACCCCGCTCAACCCTGTGCCCTTAAACTCCATGGATTGTCATAAATCACATTATTGTTACAATCTGGTGCATAAACAGAGCAAAAATATGAGCAAGGAGAGAGAGCGAGGCTGGGTAATTTTTAAAGTGCAGTACCAGAAAGAAAGTTGCTGTTTTTTTCCTAAATCAAGCCAATATTCTCCCAGCTTTCAATGGGGCAAGCTGAAATTTGGGAAATTTTCTGGGGTGGGGGAGGGAAATGCGTGTTGTCTATAGCATTAACCTATAAGCTTTTGGTTATCGGTTAATTGACTACATTATTACATCCCTACACTGACAAAAGAAAAAGCCAATATAATGATTAGATAGATAGATAGATAGATAGATAGATAGATAGATAGATAGATAGATAGATAGATAGATAGATAGAGGGGGTGTATGGGGACAGATAGATAGATCACAATGTGTGCTACCCACTATAACACAAACCTCCTGAACTCAATCACAGCACTGTCCTGAGATGTCAGGATGGGTTACATTTAGAGGTGCAGCACACAGAAAACCAACTCAAAACACGTCCCATGGATTGCAGAGAGACACACCCAGCAGGCAGACTGACAGGGGCGGGAAGGAGCAGGAGATAGAGGGTTCTATTTTCCATCACTGGATCGACTCCGGATCAGGCTGGCAGTGACTGAAAGCCATTCGAGTCGTCCAGTGGCCTCAGCAAAGACTGTCTAGCCATCGTGGTCCTGGTGAACGGATTGTTCACATTACTTTCAACATCTTTGTTGGGTGTCTCCGGAAAGAGACCAAGGACTGGATGGATTGAGAATTGGAGTCTCCTCTTATTAACTCACAAAAATCCATCAGTCAGGATTGATTTGGGGATCCTTGCAGGGGGGAAAAATTGCCTGTGTTACATACCTGACCTGGGCATAGAAAGAGGCCTTCAGCCTCTATAGCCCTGTCAAGGTCCAGATAAGGGCAACAAAAATAATGAGGGGATTGGAATGGCTGCCATCTGAAGACAGATTAAAAAGGCTGGGACTTTTCATCTTAGAAAAGAGGAGACTAAGGGGGGGATATGAGTTCTATAAAATCATGACAGGTCTGGAGAAAGTGAATAAAGAAAAGTAAATTGCTTGTTCCCATAACATAAGAACTGGGGCTTATCAAATGAAATTAATAGGTAGCAGGTTTAAAAATACAAAAGGAAGATTATCTTGACAGCGTGCACAGTCAACCTGTGGAACTCCTTGCCAGAGGATATGAAGTCCAAAACTATAACATGGTTAAAAAAAAAATTCATGGAGAATAGGTCCGTCAATGGCTATTAGCCAGGGTGGGCAAGAATGGTGTCCCTAGCCTCTGTTTGTAGAAATGGATGACAGGGGATGAACCACTTGATGATTCCCTGTTTTGTTCACTCCCTCTGGGGCACCTGGCATTGGCCACCATTGGAAGACAGGATACTGGGCTAGATGAACCTTTGGTCTGACCCAGTGTGGCTGTTCTTATGTTCTTAACAAGACACCTTTCCCAAGCAGCCGGTTCATTGGTCATTTGGCTACAAACACTGCTCCACTTTCTTACAAAAGGACATTTTTCTCAAACACTCTATCACCTAGTACAACACAAGGAATGGGCATTGGCCCCTGCAGGCTGTCGTAGCCAGTGCATGCAGCCTGAGGAGGGAGTAAGCCACCAGAGGATGGAGAGATGCTAGGACTGGCGAGACGAGCTTTTTCAATGGCCTAATATCAGAGCCGATCGGAGAAGCCAGGAAATCATGCTCAGTAATTGGGGATTAGATGGAGAGCCGGACAAGGTTCATTATCCTCGCAGCTGCCTTTTCATCGCCCACTTCCGACTCTTTTTTCTTTGATAACCGTCCTATAGACAGCTCCCCAGGCCCTCTGTCTACTTACCGTCTACTCTGGCCAACACAAATAATTCCCTGTGGGCCGCATCTCCAGTAGCTGAACTTTCCAGCGCCGTTTCTCATCCTTTGATTTTTCCCCCTTCCTGCCACCCAAGCTGGATGCCCGGGGCAATATTTCCGAATGCTCAGCTGGGGACAGCTGCCCGCATAGCTAGGAACCATTTTGTCCTCGGAGTACAACACTGTGACATTCAAGGTACAGGTGGCCCCTGACTTGTGATGCGATTGGCTCCCAAGGAAGCATTGCAAGTCGGGGGCGACATAACTCAAGTCCTCATTTACGGTAGGCGCAGTGCGCTGTCATAATGCGGGCCAAGGATGTAAGTCGGGGGGTTTCGGCCCCTTCCGCGCTTACAAAAACGGTTGTAAGTGCGGGGGGGTCGGAACTCGGGCGGTCGCATGTTGGGGCTTTCCTGTGTATTATTTTTCCTGCAGGAGGCAGCTGTCACTTCATCCTCAGTGCAGGCACAGACTACCATGGAAGAGAGACACAAACTGTGCCCTCTCTGAGAGTTGATGCAGCTTCACCTACCCTGCTCTGGGGGAAGAGTGTGGAAGGACCATGAGGTCTCCATCACAGAGCCTCAAAAGGCCTGGTCCACCCCATCACAGAAACCCTCTATCAGGCCCCTCAAAACCTCAACATTGAAAGTGAAACTGATCAGAATAAATCACATTTTGCCTGGTGTGGGGGTCGAAACTAGATGAGAGCTCCAACTTGGGCATTGGATATGACCCCTCCCCTCTCCCCCACACCAGCTCTGGGCAGGGGCGGATATATGGCAGGGCGAACGGGGCGGCCGCCCCGGGCCCCGCGCTTCAGAAAGCCCCGCGCATGCGCCGTGGCAAAGGGGGGCCCCGCAAAACAGTCATCTGCCCCTGACTCTGGGCGTTGTATCTCAGCCATGGCTCCATACCAGACGAACGTGCAATGCTGAATTCAGAATGGGGGTTAATATAGCTACAACTAATCAGGAAAGAGATCTTGGAGTTATCGTGGATAGTTCTCTGAAGACTGCACACTGCGTGGACGTGGCGGTCAAAAAAGCAAATAGGATGTTAGGAATTATTAGGAAAGGGATAGAAAATAAGACAAAGAATATCTTACTGCCCCTATATAAAACTATAGTACATCCGCATCTTGAATACTGCATACAGGTGTGGTCTCCTCACCTCAAAAAAGATATTTTGGCTTTGGAAAGGGTTCAGAAAAGAGCAACTAAAATGATTAGGGGCTTGGAACGGGTCCTGTGAGGAGAGACTAAAGAGACTGGGACTTTTCAGTTTAGAAAAGAGGAGACACAGGGGGGATATGATAGAGGTCTATAAAATCATGAGTGGTGTGGAGAGGGTGAATAAAGAAAAGTTATTTACTTGTTCCCATAGTATAAGAACTAAAGGACACCAAATGAAATTAATGGGTAGCAGGTTTAAAACTAATAAAAGAAAGTTCTTCTTCACACAGTGCACAGTCAACCTGTGGAACTCCTTGCCTGAGGAGGCTGTGAAGGCTAGGACTATAACAGCATTTAAAAAATAGCTAGATACATTCATGGAGGTAAGGTCCATAAAAGGCTATTAGCCAGGGGATAGAAATGGTGTCCCTGGCCTCTGTTTGTCAGAGGCTGGAGAGAGATGGCAGGAAACAAATCGCTTGATCATTGTCTTTGGTCCACCCCCTCTGGGGCACCTGGTGCTGGCCACTGTCGATAGACAGGATACTGAGCTAGATAGAGCTTTGGTCTGACCCAGTCTGGCCATTCTCATGTTCTTATCCCCTCCAAGTTTGGATCTCGAGCAGAGGTTGATTATTTGGCCGCATCTCCATCTGGAGCCATCGCAAAACTGGAGCTCCTTCCTGAAACCTGAACTGACCAAACTTTGATCAAAATATGGCCCCCAAGCACCTGTGAGTTACTGAGCCTTGACACAACCGATCATGAACCAGGTCTGAATTTCAGTTCAGTCATAAGATCAGAGCCCAGAGAGCTTTCGCCAAATTTGGTTTCGCTAGGAAATTTTTGCATAGCTCTATTGGTGACCCCATTACTAGTCTAGGTCAAAGCAGGCAAAGTGAGTGAAATAATCTATCGCCAGCTCCAAGGAAGTAAAAACAGCCTCATTTCTAAATATCCTGACAGAGCCAAACTGTCGCATGAAACTTGCGGGCTGGCCAGTGAATACTTACGTCAGCGGTGGGCAATAAAACAGCGGGGAATCCCCAGGGTTAGCCCCGGCCGGCCATCGCTGCTATAGTTACCTGCGCTTCTGGTCATGGATCTCCGTCCTGGCCTATTAGGAAGCAATGCAGACCGGGACACCACTTCCCACAGCTCTCATTGGCCAGGAATGGTGAGCCACAGCCAATGGGAGCTGCAATCGCCCCTACCTGTGGAGGTGCAGGGAAATATAGGTGCA